CTGGTATTGAAATAAGAGCATACCTATGGTTTGAAAAGCGTACCATGGTGGTATGAACAAAACAAGACTATAGGATGGTTGAATACATGATACTAGAAGTATATTAATTGTCATTTACGACTTTTAACATTGTGTACCAGGTGGTATTGTATGGTATTGTGTGGTATTTTTTGATCCTGTAATTTGTTCACCCAGAAATTTGTAGATCCAATAGATCATGATGAATTCGTCCCTTCTGTGCAAACGTTTTCAAAAACGAATTAAAAACGGAGAAGATACCATATGGTATGCAGTTGGTACCGAGAGGCCAGAAATTTTTTCTATAAAAATATTGAAAATTGATCTTATTTTGTAGAGCACGATGAACTCGTTCCATCTGTGCAAAAAAAATTAAAATCCGAGTTAAAACGAAAAAGATATAAGTCAATTAAGAAAACTAGGGAAATTAAAAATTGTCTTTAATTCTCATTCCTTAGATCTGGATTTTCTAAATGAAGGGTCCAGATTTGGTTATTGATGGGTGCATAACCCATGGTTATGCACCCTATCTTGAGCCTGTAGGGTGTATTCCAAACATTCTACATATACCATAAGTGTACTGGTGCCTTATATATCCTACCAAATATATATGGAGGTTCTCTTCCAACACCTGTACCATTTTACTTTTCCTGTTCTCTACGCATAGTACGGAAGGACCTCTTGGTCCTTTTGCTTAGCTTTTTAAAATTTGTGGGCTTATTTTATTAAGGAGCCCCGCCTTCAACTGTAGGAGTATATTTAGGAATAGGTTATTAATTAAATTATATATCACCAACCGAGTTGATCTTCAAAAATTACATATAAATATATTTCTTTATTACGATAATTTTTTACATCTCACAACTTCATGTAAATAGTCTAGATGGTGCATAGTTTAGGCCGGATGGGAATTTCATAAATTACCGGTGAAAGTAGACTATTTGTGTAAAATTTGAGTCAATTTAAGGCATTCATCCATATTTTTATTAGCCTAATTATATATATATAATATATATATATATATATATATATATATCTTACAATTTATTGTGTCCATGCCACGTGTTATTTATGAAAAAGAGAGTTGTTTTTATGCCACCATAAGGTGTGGTGGATTCAGATCAGTCTGTATATAAAGTGCAAAATAAGATGTCTGATGGTATGAACATGAATGAATTATCAATTAATTATATTCTCTCTAACTATTGCACATTGTTTGAGCCTAGAAACTATTACTCTCGATTTTACATTTTCAGAAATGAGGCACATAAGTCAGAGTTGAGGAGAATTGATCAACCATTGACAAAATTAGCAAGAAGGAAACGTGCTTTTTATATCAGGCAAAAGCATATATACGAGAAAATTGTCAACATTCCTACTGGTAATCCTTGAAATTCCTCAAGTGTTTGATATTGGAATCCCATCATATAAATGTGAATATTGTGGAGCAATGATGTGCAAGGGGGGAAGTACAAAATCCATGAGGAATTCCAATGAACCAAAGGTTTCATTGTGTTGCAGACAAGGCAAAGTGAACCTCCCTCCTCGAAGGCAGCCTCCAGAGTTTTTGAATATGCGATTGCAAGCAAACACTTCAATGGGACGTCATTTTTTGAACATATCCAAGCCTATAATGGGGTCTTTGCATTAACTACAGTTGGAGGTAAGCTGGATCGATCTATAAATGATGGACGTGTAGTATATTTTTATTCGATTGGAGGTTACGTATATCTTCGAAACAATATTATGTTACCTACTGAAAGGAACAAACCAAAATTTTCTCAACTCTACATTTATGCCACTAGCAATGAACTCCCAAACAGGTTAGATTTTTTCTCCACACCTCCAGCTTCAAATCCTTTGCGCTATTCAATTATTCAACAATTGTAGGAGATGTTAGATTCAAGTAATATCTTAGTAAAGTCATTTCGATATGCAAAGGCTAGACTGAATGACACCAAGTTGAAATTAAGTTGTTTGCTAAAAGAAAAGGGGATGGTAGGGAATATGATTTGCTATTTGCAAATGAGGTTGCTGCTTAATTGTTGAATATACTAGGGAGCAAACATTTTCTCCTAATATTGTTGTCCTGTAGCAAAGTCACGAACTGGAACAAATTAGTATATATATCCAAGTTTAATGGTTTTGCAATATTCCATATTATTCTCACATGGTGAGGATAGTTGCCACCCGAATATTCCATATTCTGACGATGATGATGCATATGGTTACAATGAGAAGAATGTGACTTACTGTGAGTTTTACAGTTATAGACTCCAAACAATATTGGAAGAATCAAATGCATTGCTATTGTGTTGTTCCAACAATATTTTGTTAATACCTATGCATATGTTGTTAATGTCGTATGTTCTATACATTTTCCGAAGGGATTCTCTACAACCAAACAACTATTGATGACAATGGTTAAACAAACAACTTAACCACTATTATTTAAATAATCGACAAATTTGCAGCCGAGAACACCTTCTCCTCAACTGGATCAACCTTGCTGCTTGCGAATCCAAGAATTTTGGAAGTTATTAATTTTGGGCCAAGCTGAAATTCACGACAATCTAATCTGTATTTGTTTATGCGTATAAGTTTGAAGTTCGAAGAAAAAAAGAGATTAATTGAAATTCTTATTTGGTGAATAAAGTGATGGCGATGCACCAACTCCTCCTATGAAAATCACAAGAAAAGCCCAACAGCCAATCCCAACCAAAACACTGCATGAGCATAATCAATTAAAAATGAAAGATGATCTCTAAAAAAATTAAAATGAAAGATGAAGAAGAGGTGAGTATCAGTTTCGATTTAACTCCCCATCAACTATCAAATACTAAAATTTTATGTAATATGTAGGGAAATATATATTCCGTCAACTGCAAAGTTATCAAGGTTAAGAATTGATGGTGCTATGCTAGATGCGAAATCTGTCCACAAAAAACTCGAAGAAGACTCTGATGAGCACTTCCGTGGGAATTGTTCAACGACATTAATAATGACAATAGCAAGGTAATGCATAGATTATGCATGCCAACTGATTGGATATTTAATTTTCTACAACATAATTTATATTATTATTCTTACGCGGAATGCATAGATTATATTACTAATGCAAAAAAAAAACATTTTTATTGAAAGTTACCAATGCATGGCCCAGAATTCAACAACTTATGTACATATTATAATATATATTAAATATGGTTAATATAAACAGATTTCATGAGATTGGTGACTTAGTAAAAGATGGATATAGCATTTCATACAAGGCTACGTTTCTCTTCCATTCACATTTGGTTTGCACAAGGAGAGGTGATTGTTTGATTGGCGTGAACTTGCCTATCTATTTTGGTGGGATGTATTGATTGAATAATTCTGAAATTTTGCCTTTACCAACTCAAAAAAACGTATAGCTTGACAGTTTATTGGGTTTTTTAATGTCACTTGCCATCAATATATAGATTCAGGACCAAGCTTCGAATTATGGTCAAAACAAGAGAGGCTGACTTTGTTGTTATTGATAGAGTGGGAGCTCGATTTTTTTAGAATGTCTGTTGAAAGGTTACTCCAACACAACGATATAATTAGAGGACCACTACCTGCTCATCTCTTACAATTTGAGGCAATGATCTTGAAGTTTTGCATCGAACTCAGACATTACAATATTGCTAATCCAACAAGTGAGTACATTATGAAGATAGGGAAGGACGAGGTAGATCAGACCACTGATGATCTTCTAACTTGACCGAGGTAAATTCTATTTCAATCAAAATGATGAACATTATTAATTACAAATTTGTGTTATTCTATATTGGATTAGATTTTTATACCAAGCAGAATTCATACAGTTATATTATATAATCTAATTGATAACTTGCAATACACGGATGAAGGGAGCTGATGTTTTAATTAACAAAATTATATTTGATGAATTATATTAAAATAAATCTAACTCAAGTTAAAAGGTGGAGACCACCCTTTTATTTCTTTCGTTGCATGTTTGGAAATATAGTTGATTTAGAAATTCTAATTTTCATAGAACTTTGCTTTCTTTTCCACTAACTTGCAATTAATTTACCCGACTATTTATCAACAACATATATTGATCACTTATAATTCGATAGAATCACATCATAGGTTGTACTTTTAAATGTCAATATTTAAATTCATAATACTGATGTAGGAGAAACAACAATGAGAAAAATATAAAAACTGGTGATGGGGAGAAAGAAGAAATTCTCAATGAAATGCACGAAAGCATGAAAGAGATAATTTATTTGCAAGAGAAGAAGGAAGAGTCAATTGATATTGAAGATAAAAGTGTCTTCCAATGGAAATGAAGACCTTATTAATGGTGACGATCAAGTTGCTGCTCATGCCGGAGCAAATGCAAAGAACCCAAAAAGAAAACGTGCAGTAATCTCTAACGATGAGGAGTAACTAGAAGGGCCATTTTGAATTGTTGAAATTTTTGATTATTTGGATTCTCTTATTCTCCCAATTGATTTAAATGTTTACATTATTTGAATAACTTAGATTTCATATACTAATTAGTAACTCGAATACAAATTGCTACTATCATTTACGTGATTGACAACTGAATCCGGCCAACTGGCCGGGCCCGTGACTAGTTCCTAATTAATAACTTAGCGTTCTCGTAAAGCAAAAGTTAAATAAATAAAATTCGTTAGCTCGCCAATAAAAACACCGTCAACCTTCAGCCTTGCCCTAGAATTTTCTTCTCTCTTGCTCAAAACTCTTTCTGTCTTCCCCTTCAATAAATAGGGTAGTCCCCTAACAAGCTTGCCCCACGTCAACAAAAGAACTGCAATGGTGACTAAAGCCCAAAAAAGGGAGAGACCATACAAAGCAAAAGCCATTAAAGCACATACCAAAGCAAAAGCAAAAGTTGGACCATGAACAGAGTATGGAATAATAACCATCACTTCTTCATACTTTTTTGCTCATCACTCACTCTACTTACTATACAAACCCAACAAACACAAAATCAAACCTCAAAAACTCCCCCAAACCAATCCCCCACTCCCAACTCTCCACTTCCCTTTCCACAAAACAATGGCCATTCATTTCCACTGGTCACTACACCTCTACCCCATCCTAATCTCACTCCTAACCATCCCCGCCGCCGCCGCCTCCGCCACCACACGCTGCCGGACCACCTGCGGCACGATCCCAATCCGCTACCCGTTCGGCATCGACGACGGCTGCGGCAGCCCCTACTACCGCCGCCTCCTCCTCTGCTCCTTCAACACCCTCCACCTCCGAACCCCTTCGGGCACCTACCAAATCAAATCCATATCCTACACGGACTCCCCGCACCTAATCCTCACGGACCCATCCATGTGGGCCTGCAGCGACGGGCCCAACTTCCGGCCCACCCAGCCCTTCAGCCTCGACTCCAGCACCCGCCTCACCCTCTCCCGACACAACGACTACCTCTTCTTCAACTGCAGCCCGGCCCGCGTCATCATGGAGCCCAAGCCCGTGTTCTGCGAGCGCTTCCCCGACCGCTGCGACTCCACGTGCGACACCGCGGGTTACCTCTGCCGCCACCTGCCCGGGGCGCCTACGCGCTTTCGTCACGCGCCGGGGCGGTGTCGTGCTGCTCGTATTCCCCCAAGGCGACCGACTCGCTGAGGCTGATGCTGGAGTATTGTGCCACGTATGCGAGTGTTTTGGAGGAATAGTGACTCCGGGGCGAGTAATTACTACGGGGAGACGCCGGAGTATGGGGTGCGAGTGGATTTTGATATTCCGGTGACGTCGGGGTGTCTCCGGTGCCAGGATATGAGGAGAGGTGGCGGCGGGACTTGTGGGTTTGATACGGTGTCGCGGGAGTTTCTGTGTCTTTGTAGGCAGGGGAATGTCACTACTTCTTGCGAGCAAGGTAATTAATTAAGATCCATATTACTGAATATTGACCTTATGTTCATGAAAATAAAAAATAAAAAATGACAATATTAACGTTATCACTAAACTTAGCTAATTTGCGTATGTATCGTCTATCGTGTCTGTTCGACGCTTTGGAGTTTAATAAAGTTGGCAGTGTAACGATAAAAAATACTCTTTCATGAGTTCATGATAGTTCGGTTGTATATGGACTATCGAGTGTCGTCAATCGATTTTGCAATTTGGTCCTCTTTATGTGCGCCTTCCTGACTTGGGTGGGGGGAGAGGGAGGGGGAACTAGGCCATTTGCAACGTGACTTAACTATGTATCTTGACAACATAAATGCTAAGCGCATTTACTCGTAAGAAAAAAGTGTCACTATGCACTCTCTCGTTTACTATTGGTATAATGTCGGTTCATTTGGTCAGTTTGCTAGTCGAGTCGTATTGACTTGTCAGATTTACCGAAATCAGCCAATCAGTTTCATGCATTGATCACAGTTGTTTGATTATCATTTCGTTACAATTTTTGTGCGCATTTTTGTGTATATTTTACAAGCTACTTAGTTTAGTTAGCATTTTGTTACGATTTCTATGCAGGTTGGTAATCGTATTTTACGCATTTAAATCCTTTGTTGCAGATCATGATCAGCAAGGTTCTTCTAGGCACAGCAATGCCGGAGTGATCGTAGGGACGGTGGGCGCGGTTTCGGCGGCCGGAGCTGTTGGGATCGGAGCTGGGGTTTGGTACTTCAACAAGATTAGAGCTAAAGCGCCGGTCACTTGTGGAGTTCAGAGCAATGAGAACAGGCTTTTTTGAACCAGAATTAAAGTTGGTTGAGTGGGAATCAAATTATTTTTTTTTTTTAATTATCCATCACATTTTTTATTGGCTTGTTTTGCTTTTACAGTCAAGTTTTGTATATTAAGATGGTTGTAGTATTGTTGCTGCCCATCCTTTTTAGGACATATAGAATCCCTCTAAAAGAGAGACTTGTATTGCAAGTAATGATAATATTCTCATCAGTCATCACCACCCAAGATGAAGAAAGCTAAAGTAATCTACATTATGGTTAAGAGTGCAATCACTCATTTTTGGGGCCAAATATAAAGTTGATATCACATTATGCCTAGGAGAAAGCAATGATCTAATAAATCATTTCTATGGTGGCTGACTATGTAAGGGCATTTGGTTCTTCAATCAAATAATCCATAATATAAATTTAGTGGATAAAATAAATTGATTTGGTTCTTTTATTGTCTATATAACCTAAAATCATTTTCATGTTACGACGGAGTGAGTAATCGACAAAATAGGGGGAAAAACTAGTACATATGCATAATTATGATGCACTAATACAAAGTGTGTTAAATGCAAATAGACTGACATACATGTCGTTTGGTTTTGATGATAGTTTAGGTGAAATTGTTACAAGGTGTGCATTGTCGATAATGCATCATTTTTTTGTTTGTTTTCTTCCACAATGCATTCATCGTTCTGTTGGTGTGATGGAAAGGATCACTCAAATGAGTGATATTAAATATCTCATGTAAATTTTGAGATTGTTGAGATAGTTTATTGGGGATAGTTTGATTTTGTTTTTATCCCAATTTCCAATTATATTCCTATATATATACCCATAATACCCTTGAAATTTTATCATCTAATCCGCTCTCACTTTTTTCTCGAGAACACCATGCTCAGTTCCCTTCCCTCCACTTTTTTCGTGGATGTCTCCACCACCCGCTCAATTTAACACCCACTGCCTTCAAAATTTCATCGTCGGTCTAGTCTCCTCTGTCCCGTCATCGATCTAACATCTGCAATTTCTGTATCTTGAAGTAGAATACGTGTGTCTATATCCATTGCTTAATGTGGCGTGTTCATCAATTGTGTGTTGTGGCTTTTGCATTCAATTTTGCTTTTAGTGATAACCCATAAAAACAAAGGTAAAAGTGATATTTCATGCTAAAAAGAAATATAAATTTTTGAATGCTAAAATAACTATCACCAAAACCAAACAAGGTAAACTACATTACATGATTAAATCATTTTCCTTATTTGCATATATATTACAATGCATGCATTGATCATAACACATTGATTTAAGTATCAACAAAACCAAACTAACCCTTAATAGTTTTCTTTTTGTCATAGAAATCCTTGCGGATTAACCAGATAAGCGTGTGGGGTCACAACAATTACAACCCCTACACGGACTCAAAGACAGACCATATAGGAATAATCAAATAATACATTACATATACCAGGATAGCGAAGGGCATTATGTGCCACAATATGGGCAGCCTGGTTCGCTTCTCGAGGTGTGTAGGCCAAAGTAACCAAAGGTAGACAGGGGAGAAGAGATAACACTTCACGATATATTGCGCCGCACCGAACATCATGAGGATTATTAGTCTGTAACCGCTCCAACTCAGCTTGTGCATCACCAGTAATCTGAACAGGTTGATCATACCATCCCCAACGGGAAAAGGAGGAGTAAAGCATACCGGACCGCCAATAATTCCACAGTTGAAGCATCAATTATCCCTGGTAGAGCGCACCCAAATCCAAAAGCAGCCTGACCGCCAACAAAGCCAACAATACCAACTGCACCATGAGTGGGAGATGATGTCGCTCCGTCCACAGCAATCCGAAATCCGGAACTCAATTGTGGAGCACGTAGTCGGCGAGGTGGTGGTGCCTGGGCGAGAAATGGAGATTGGGCGACAATTTGATGATCGGCCTGGTGCGACAGTAATTGACGATGAAGGCAGGCGATGGTAAACTAGGCGTGGGGAAGGAAGACAACATTGTTGCGACTTTTCCATAGTCGCCAAAATAATAGTACCCAGGAACTAATAGAGCTGATATCCACATTGAATATGACATGTCGCCAAAACAATAAAAGATGGGTGGTGAGAAGGAGACCAGGAGACAAATGGAGCCCTACCAAATTACGCAAAGCAACTGCCACCGGACAGCGAAGAAATAAATGCTCGACTGATTCACCTTCTGTGGACTCACAAACTGGGCATAATTCTTCAACTTGTACGCCATGGCGATTAAGGTCTTCCCTGACAGGCAGAATGCGCAAAATAATACGCCATAGAAAAAATTTGAGCTTAGGGGAAAGGGGAAGTCCCCATAATTTTGGCCACAATTTCGGATCCACTGGGGAGGCCGAAGAAACTTTTTTCACTTTTGGAGGCGGTTGCGCAGCCATAGCCAGGCGGTAAGCAGATTTGATGGAGAACAGGCCATCGGGATTGATAATGCCAAACGTAACGGTCAAAACCCGGGGTCAGAGGAATTGGAATATTTAAGATCGCAGAAATTGAGTCATTAGTAAAAAAATTGGCGCAAACGGTGAATATTCCAAGTCCCTGAAAGAGGAGAAATAAAGTAAGAGACAAACTGAGAGGAATTGGTTGACACTTGACGGTGATAACAAACCCTTAATAGTTAGGGTGTGCCTACGGTGACATGCATGTCACGGTGACTTGCACTTTCCGGTCGACCTCAGTTAGGATTAGGTCGACCTCACATAGAATTCGGTCGACCTCATATAGGATCCGGTCGACCTCATTTAGGATTCGGTCGACCTGATATAGGATCCGGTCGACCTAATATGTTGTTTCAGTGTAAAAACAGTTCATGGTGCCTACTTTGGATATTCATATCATACAATTGGCTATGATGGAAATTGAAGACTAATGACTTGTTTTGAAGCTGGAGTGTCCCTCTACATATTGAAGTGATTGAGAGCTCGATAGGAAGTCCAGAAGACCATTTTTGAACCTCATCAAAAGGCTATGCCAAAATGGGAAACTGCCTAGAAATGGCTAAGTCTGGAAACGTGTTTGTGAAGCCTATTTTTGAGCTTAATTCGAGAAGCATGAATGCGAGTCGAGTCCAGGAGCCTCTACCACGTTAAATTAGGTATGCTTTTATACAAATTCAAGGAATTGGATGAAAGATTGGATATCTTTAAGGCTTCAAACAAAAGGGTCGAAGTTGCTACGAAGGCTGTTTTTCTGGCAAACTTCGAGCACAAGCAAGCTGCCAGAAAAACAGCCTTCGTAGCAACTTCGAGCCTTTTGTTTGAAGCCTTAAATATATTCAATCTTTCATTCAATGCCTTGCCTTTGTATAAAAAAATACGTAATTTAACATGGTAAAGGCCCCTGGACTTGACTCGCATCCATGCTTGTCAAATTGAGCTCCAAAGTAGGCTTGACAAACACGTTGCCACCATTTTCAGGCAGTTTCCCAGTTTTGGCATAGCCTTTTGGTCAGGTTCAAAAATGGTCTTCTGGACTTTCTATTGAGCTCCCAAGTACTTTAATGTGTAGAGGGACACTTCAGCTTCAAAACAAGTCTTTAATCTCCAATTTCCATCTAGCCAATTGTAAGATATGAATCTCCAAAGTAGACACCATGAAACTGTTTGTACACTGAAACAACTGATTAGGTCGACCTGATCCTATATGAGGTCGACCGAAAAGTGCATGTCACCATGACATGCATGTCACCGTAACAAAGTCCTAATAGTTAATACAATAAAAAATCAGTAAAAAAATACAATAAAACAAGTCTCAGGCCCACTCCAAAGCCCGCGCTTCGGGCGAATACCCACAACGGCCCAGCCCAAATTGCTGAACATTCTGCGGCCCAGCTTGAAGACGGAACCGTCTCCGCGAGTTTGAGTCAAGTCTCATTGTCGGGTGAGTGAGGGGAAAGGTCAAAAACGGATATTCCAGTTTTCAATCCTCTATTCCCAAAACGCGATTCAGGTGGAGGGAAACGTCAACTTGACGGCGAAGCAAAATTCGGTCCCATTTGTCTCTCTTCGCGGTATCCCTGCGCTGGGAGATCGATTCGATATACTCTTGCCGCCTTCCTATCTTCCCGTCGCCGACACCGATTCCGCCGCCGGCTTCGAAAAATCCAGGTGAAAACTCGCAGATCTAGTGCTCTTTTTGCCCCCTCTCGGAATCCCCTAAAATGGCTGCCCACGTACATATCCCAATTAATTAATTTCTTTCTTCCTTTTAGTTTCTTTTAGTTGCAGAGAGAAGCGCCGGCAGAGCGACTGGTAAAGCTCTCTGAATTCCTCTGTGGTAATGCGTTTCCCGTGATTGATTTTCGTTATGATTGCTTTCCCATCGAATGTACGGGCCCTTTTGAACGATCTCCTAATGGTTGTTGTGATCGCACTCTCCCAACTCTTCTCTTCCTCCCTTCTCCAGTTTCTTCGTCGGGTTTGTGATAATTCCGCAATCTAAGGTGTACGGTTTGGATAAAAGTTAATAATTTCGACCTGGGTATTCGCTTCACTGCTGGTACATGTTGCTGTTGGTACATAAATCTTGGGCTGGGGTGTGCTTTGGATTCTTTGACTAGTGCAGGATTGAATGCTTGTATTTGTCGGTTAGGTGCAGATTCTGTCTCTGGTTAAGTGTGTGTGTGTGTTTGATGTGCCAACAAACATAATAGAAGAAAGCTGAGAAAATTCTGCTTCTGTTTCTGGGGTTTGGATCGCATCTGCTATGGGGCACAACGTGTATTTGTTTGTTTGCACCACATTTGTTGCTGAAATGATGGATTGGCATTTTTGTTGGAGCTGATGCTTGCCTATTGCTCGGGATTGTAGCTAAATTCTTCAGAGGGTGGTTCTGGAAAGGGGTATCTGTGGCTCTTTACCTTAAAGGGTACCAGTGATCCGCCAAGAGACGTTTACAGAGAAATGGCATCCACAGAGGGCCTTGTGCCCATCACCAGGAAATTTTTGGTCTTATTACGACAATACCCTTTCCCCCATTATCTGATGATGTCTCTCGTCTGTGTTCGGAGATTCGCTCTATCATCCCTGATTTACTCAAGGAATCTCCACCTTCTTCAGGTTTTTTCATGTCTCCCTTTATCTGGAATTTACATGGATGATGCTTGGTTTTTCATTTGTTATGATGATGATTTCTACTTTGAGGTGCTCTCTAGATAAAAATATTTGACTTCACTGCAGAAGAGAGTTCATTGGTAGATGAAGCGGGTTGTCAGCCTCCTCGCAAAGTTGATGAGAATATGTGGAAGAATCGTGAACAACTGGAAGAAATTCTGTTCTTACTTGAGAAATCACGTTGGCCTCGTGCAGTATATTCGTTCCTCTTTCCTTACCACCTTCACAATAGCTTGCTTGCCTATGTTTATATGTTTTATGGTTTCATGAAATAATATTAATGTTTTCACATTTTGTTCCGACAGCTTCAACAGCCCTCAACTTCCGATGACAGTGAAATTGCTATTGCATTTGTCAGCATTCATGACAAAGTTCAGAAAACTTTGAAGATGTGGAGGCTTTCCAATCTAAGAATTTGAACGTGTATTGAATATAGGTTAGTTCCTTATTCTCCATTTTTCCGCCTCTTTTAAACTTCTGTATCATTGTTGGAAATGTTATTTATCTTCAGTTACTAGACACTTTATTTTCAAAATTCATGCTGTTTGACTAACCATTCATCATTGTGATTCCAGTGATGACATACCTACCTCAGGATTTTCGAGCGACACTTATTTTACAGCAAAGGGAGCGGTCGGAGAGGAATAAGAAAGCAGCGTTGATGCGTTGGTTAGTTCAGGAGGAACCATACGTGAAAAATATGCTCTGCTTTGGCAACAACAAGTGGATAGGAGACGGCAGTTGGCTCAGCTTGGTTCTGCTACTGGTGTATACAAAACTCTTGTGAAGTATTTGGTCGGAGTTCCAGAGGTACTAAGTCTAATGAATTCTGTATCCCAATTTGCATTGACCATGTTGATTAGCATTTCTGTTCTACCGGGTCATTTTTGGACCCCTCAAAGCACACAGAGCTGAATGAGTTGATTGCCTTTATAATTCAATTTTGTCCCTCCAAGCCCTTATTCAGTGTTTTTTAGTTACTGTTGAAATACTTTTTGAGCGCTTCGTGCACATGAGAATCTGATGCCTGCCTTACGTTTTCCCTATTCTGTCTTGATTTCAGGTTTTACTAGATTTTGTTCGGCAGATAAATGATGATGATGGGTAGTTTGTTTTCTTTTTGGTATAGTTTTTGACCTACGAAAAATAAAGACCCTGAAGGTACCTGCTTGATGATAAAGCTCAATCTGTTTGTAGGCCAATGGAAGAGCAAAGACACCGATATGGACCCCTTTATACAGCCTGACAACTATGATTCTTCTAGTTCGAGTTTTGTTTTGCTGTCATGTAGGAGATTTGATGCTGGCCTAGTGTAAGTTTGTAGCGTATTTACATTCAACATCAATTTCTTGTTGTGTTTGAACTCTCTTTGACATGCTTCTACTTGGTGTTGCTTTGTTTGTCTGAGCAGAAAGAGACATCATATCACTGTATTGGAACAAGCTGTTGATGTCTACTCCAATGAGTTTATAAGGTTTATCACCTTCTTGAGGTATTGTTGTTTCCTAGATATCTCTTTGATATTGTTTGTGCTTCTAGTTGTAAGTCTGAAACATAGCATTCCATCTTTGTGACAAAGCATCATGTTCATGGTAACAGAGCCTAACTCATAACCAAAAAAAAAAAAAAAAGACAACATACTGTGTGTGCAGTTGGATATTTCTTGTTAATGTTTCCTTACTGTATAGTTACTTCTTTATGTAATACTGATTCATAGTTTTGAGTTTGACGAAATGAATGTCTCAATTTGGCATGGGAATTGCATGGCTGTGTTATTACGCTGTAAACTAATTTGTTCTCGATGTTCTATATTGTTTCATATGTCGATTTGTCTCAGTGAGGTCTTAGCAAACTCTCGTTCCTTATTTCGGTAAGGATGCTGGTGCTTTGGATGGAAGGTAAGTTTTTTCCTGAAATTGTTATGACACATTCAGGTCTCGACCTTTATAATTTGGAAGGGGCTGTTTTCCTGCAATATTGTTTCCGATGCAGGAACAATGATGATTTCAAAGAAATCAGTGTTGCAGCTGGGAGCTCTCATGAGGTTAGTTTTCCCTATGTTCATTAATGTTATATTGTTCCAATCACGAACAGTGTTTCTGAATTGATCACATAGTTACCAAAGGTGTGTTGAGCCTTAGACATGCCTCAGTTTCGGATGCCAGGAGCACCTTTGCTGCACCTCTCCCAGTCTGTTGGGTTTTCTGTAATTAGCTGTTATTCTCTCTTATGCTAATTCAGTTGGTATTGCTTCCTATCTCCATGGAGCCTTGCTTAGTGTGAAACTGTGAATACACATGCATCATGTCAAAACTAAAACAAGAACGTCTTACACATTAGTAGTTTATTGATGAGGAAAGGCTAAACAACTCCTGCTTCCGTAGCCATCTTGTTGTGTATTTTGGTTTAATATCAGCAATCTGGCATGCTTCTTTCACTAGGAACTTGTATTATTACTTAACTAGTCTCTAGTCTTCTTGCTCACACATGTGTTTAAACTTTCAAGGACTTCATCTGGTTAGAAATTGTCAAGTGCTGCTTGTGACACGTTAGTTCAGATATCTGCTTATGACAAATAATTATTGGATACTCCAGGTGTATAATCCCGTTCAATTAAAATAACATCTTCCCTCTTCTTTCTCCTTAATTAATAGTTTATTAATATTCTTATGACATAACATTTATTCATCAGAACAGTGTCACTGCAATGTCTTGGTTTGCTAGGAGATTTGTGTTTTTAGCATATTTGTTGAGTATGTTGATTACAATATTAATATGTTTCAGTGGCTTTTTTCTAACTGCTGTGTCGTCCCCAGGTTTTGTTGTCAGTGGAATCGATTAACTCCTACATTGCTTGGGATTTCTCACTGATACAGGGCAAATGAGCTTGGTACAATTCTCATTGGAATGTCTCTAAAATCTTTGGTTCCTAGTTTTCCTGAATTTTTTAAGAGTCGATAATTTGTTGATAACATGCGAAACCTGAATTAGTTAGGACTCGCATAATTTCAGTGGTTATTAATTTGTCACTGTTTACTGATCAGGACATTGGGTTCAGGTGGAGTACATAAATCCTTCAGGCCAAAAGACCGTGAGTAGAACTACTGTGTTGGTGGTCCTGTCATGTTATATCATCCTTGAAGCTATGAAATGCTTCCTTAGATGTATTTATCTGATTTCTGTTTTACTTGTCTGCATGTTTGACTGCTGCTCAGCTAATTTTACCCTATAGACGTTGCGAGTCTGACCAAGTGAGTTTTTCAGTACCTGATTTTAGCTACCTTTGAATCGCCTCTTGCATTATACCTTTTAAAGAACAGAATGCCTATAGAGAGTTCACCCGTGACCCGTTTGCATACATTGCTGCAGGGGAACTTCTGCACGGCATGACCGGAGATTACAAACTTGTTTGGATAACTCCTATTCCAGCTTTTTCAAAAAGGTAAGCAATGAACTGTAAGAGTAACCAAAGGCTGATTCTCGATTTTAGATTGGTTTATTCCGTCTTGCTCAAAACTGGGTTGTTTTGGTATTGATTCCCGGGATCATGTTCTTAGGTCGTAAGGTGTAAGGTGGATTGCATCCCACCGGTTGTCGAGCCTGCTGAATCGAGGAGTGAAGTGGAAGGATAAGTAAATTCTTTTTTTACCATCAGGACTTTATTGTTTGTGATATTACTCGAGATATCTTCCCTCTCTCCTTTCGGTCTGAGAGAAAAGGGTGTTTGATTTGGGGATGGGTTTGTATCTTGCTGGCCCTGCCCTTATTTCCCCGTAGGGAAGAACGTGTGTTGTGTGAGACGTTTGCCTGTAGTCTTCTCTGTTGTATACTGGATTGTCTCTTGGTTAAATTCACTAGCGTTCAGGCATTGACACACATAAACTAATCAACATTTGGTTTCTTATACTTGCTCTTCTTCTGCACCTGCGCGTTGTCTTTACCCTGACCTTACTGAACACTGAAGGATGTAGCAATCTGCAGCTTGAATGTGATGATAAGTAATCAACTCTGTTTCCATTTGTTGTTGCTTGCACTGCAAGCTATGTATGGTCGAACTGTATGGTGGAACCCGAGTCTTACGATACATTTACGACGGATGATGGTGAAGGAAATTTGTGTAATTCATTATTCAATCAATCAGCTTCGAACTTAGATTGACGTGAATCATCCTCTCTCCCCCACCGCGCCTCACCTCCCCACCACGACTCCTGCTCCTCCGAATCCACTCCCATGACCTTCTCCTGCTCCACCATTTCCACCACAACCGTCACCCCACCTCCTCCACCTCCAAAGAAGCTCCCACAAGCTTCTCTTCTAGTGATTGAGTTCAAATTAAATGGGGAAGAATGTGTAAGTGGAGGACTGAGTAGGTGTGTTTGCAACCTATTGGAATGAGACTTCTCAATTTCATAGCCTATTATCTTATCATTTTTTTTCCAATTTTTATATCCTAAATAATATATTATATAGAGATGCTATAACTCATGCCGAACTACAAAATAAAACCAACCGCTTTAGATTTCAAACACATTTCACAATCCCCCTCCAAAACACATTTTACAGGGTCAGGTGCAGTGAAACATGACTTGGATTGGCGGGCTGATGAGGATTGCAATTGGGCTTAGTCCCAGCCAACGAGCCCAGAGACAGGGCAACATTGGGCCTTCTTCATCCTCCTCCTCCTTCTCCCCAAGCAAGCTTTCTGTGCCACATAGTGATGGGCCTTATCCCCTTGCTCCTCCTCTCCTGGACACAGCTTGTGGTTTCAAGATGTCATTGAAGATGATGTAATAATTACGATGGCGTTGATCGTCATCGTCTCTCCTCCCCAATTCCCTGCAACATATAGCAATTAGGATGTAGCTCCAGGCTAGCCCATAATCATCGATGTAAGTTTAAGTAATTAAGCAATTGATTACCTCTTGGGAAGCTGGTGATCATGATCATCAGGGCCATAATCCATGTAATTAGTTGACGTTGGGAGCAATGATAGTCACGTTGCCCGTTGTACAACCCAAGCTGTGCATTTCTCTTGGCTACTACTCCACTGCTTCTCCTGCAATTACCAAACGGAACTAAGTGGTCAAGAAATCCTGTTGTGTGGTAGATATATGACATGGTGGGATTAGATGTTAATTACGGTGATTATTTTATGTAATATGATATGATTAATAGGGGATCATGTACATATATACATACCTTGCATTGCCTGCTCATGCTTCATGCTCCTGTACATCTGCCCAAATCCCCAACGCAAATACATAATTACCACTTAATTAACAATGTAATTAGGAACATGATCGCACCGAAAGTGGAGAGATGAAAAAGGTAATTATAACGTTACATATAACTTTTTTGCCCTAAAAAACCGCAACGCTCATGAAAGATTTTGCTTCCAGTTGACTTTACTTTATTTGAGCGAGAATCTAAAATATACGATTACTTTTAACGAGTACTTGAATGCTAAATTATGCGAGAATCTAAAATATAACGATTACATCTGCCCACAAACCCCCAACACAAATGTATAATACACTTAACGATGTAATTAGGAACATGATCGCACCACAAAAGTGGAGAGAAAAAAGATATTATAACGTTACATATAACGTTTTTTCCCCTCAAAACCCGCAACGCTCATGCGCGATTTTGCTTTCAATTGACTTTATTGGAGCAAAAATCTAAAATATATACAATACTTTTAATGAGTTACTTGAATGCTAGATTATGTGAACTCTTTACCTCCCCAAGTCACTTCACTCGCTCGCTACTACGTACAATTGCAGTTAATTAGCCGATATAAGAATATGTTTGCCGATCGATAACGCGAAACACATGATGTATTTTTTTCCTCTCGCGCGCGTTCCTATCTTAATTTCCTTTTTTCCCCTCCTCCTTCCCGTTTCGTATATAACTATTCCTCTTGTATATATCTCTGTACTGTTCGTTTTCGAGTCAACAGCTCTCCCCGTTCGTAACGAGAAATCCACTCAGTTATATATAAATGAATAAAAAAAAATCCATAGGTAGTCAAATAATTAACAAAGACACGCGAATCGAGTCGAGATCGAGCAAGCTCGAGCGATTAAAGAAAAAAAAAAACCCCAACCGGAGATGGCTCTTGACGTGGGAGATGGTGAGTCCTTCACATCCATAATCTGCAGAACCATCTTCGGCGTCGCCCCTGCAGCAAAAATACAACATCGCATCAAACCCTAAAAAAAAACTCAGCAAACTAATTAAAACGTAACCAAAAACTCAAATCATTTTTGACGTACGGTCTTCTCCGCCGAGGCGGTCAACGGCATGGACGAAGCACCGGTGAAGATCCGGAGTTCCACCTCAGCCTCGGCGACTTTGACCGAACGTAAGGCCTCACCACCACCTCCTGCTGCATCGCCGCCGCCGCCACCTTCCCCCCCGCCGCGCCATTCCCATGAAGACGACGTCGTAGTGGATGATGATAGAGCAGGAGGAGTAGAGGAATATCCACCTCGTGCACTCTTTTCATCTTGCTTTCTGCTTCTGCTTCTGCTTCTTTGGGTGTAAGAGAGGAAAGGGAGAGGAGGGAAAACGTATGTAGGGAGGAAAGTGAGGTGGTGGGGAGGATCGGGGGGAATAAATGCAACAGTGGAAAGAAGAGAGTGCTGGCCGCTGGGCTATTTTTTTTTTTGAGTCAGTGAGATTGTTGCGGTGTTTTGTCAGTATGTTAAGCTTGCAGCTTTTTTTGTTGTGTTGTTGCCATGGGACGAGTCAGTTGCATTTGCATTTGCAGCAGCATGCAGTTTCGTTTTTTTTTTTTTTGAGAGTTTCGATTTTGAATTAAAGGGGGAGAAGAGAACGCGACACTGGAATTCCGGGTCCGACTACGTGCGCGCTCTTATGCTCAATGGACAACAGAATGAATGATAATTATTAGTAAATTAATAAATAACAGCAGCAAGAACCATGCATGGCATTCTTGGCTACACATCAACATTCTTCTTCCTCATCTTAATCATATACCACACACTAACAAATTATTGTATGGTTTATGTATACATAGATTTGAGCAGCAGCGGATCGGGGGGAGGCCCAGCCCTCCCTCGATCAAGAGCTAGTATACCACTTGTAAATTTTTGATTTTTTGTGTTCGTTTCAGTGTTTTTGCGTATTACGACCCAACCCTCTCCGTTTTTTTTTTACAGTGCTCTGTTCGGTCCTGGATCCGCCGCTGCATTTAAGTGAGGTTAATTTGTTTCTACATGTAGGTTTTAGAAAGAGTGTAACATCGACTTAGCTCCGTTATTTCGATATGTTTCTGCTTGTGTAGTCTCGGAAGGGTTACCCTGGGAAAAGAAAAACTTTTAGTAAGAGTTCAAGCGGTTTGCTTGATTTTTTTTTAATGATACTGGTCAATCATCTTCAAACCTTCAACATATACCCATACAAGACCGATATCAAATAATAGCATACGATCGTCATTATACTTTCATGTTCATTTCGAACCTTGTGATCGACATCCCGTTTATATAAAAAAAAAAAACGTTATTATGCATGACCACCTACACATTTTGAATTGTTAACTAGTGAATTTGGCTGGATGTTATTACAGCAGATGATGATCAGCAGCTGTAGCAGATACGTAGATATATATACGTGGATACGTTGATTCCACGAATTGTGTCACTCGTGTGTGGGGAATATGGGTTGCTTGTGGATTGAGGAATGGATATATTTTTGTGTGCATTATTATGTCACCCAATATTCTTCTTCTTTATAGTTTTCAAGGGTCGCATATATGACGGAATTTAACGTAGCTGGGATAATATATAGATATGTATGGGCGGGATACATCGTCACCTTTTCTTGGTTGTTTCTTTCTGTATTGAAATTGAAGGCGACAAAACTTAGGCCAGAACAAACAAAGCTATAAGGTTGCCTTGAAAGGGCAAATGCGACCCAATTCTCTCATCAATTCCACGCTCACTTCCCTAAAATCCACAACGTGTTGTAGTATACTATTATTCATCCCACAAAAGGGTATTTAAATATACTATTTGATTTTTGTATTAAGGGAATTTAATTTGCGTGGACGATGAATTCATTTGGATAATTCTAGTTGTTCGCAAAGGTTCGAGAACTTATAGAATGATTATATTTACTTGATTGAAACGAAACCTCAGAAGCCATGAGCGAAATATTTCCAAGGCGTAACTTCGTCGTGATACTACTTTGTAAATAATAAGTTCATCTGATTGATTTCAATTTGAAATTTCTCAATCATTTTAAATGAAAAAGAAGAAAAAAGAATAATAATAAGAACTAAACTATGTTGTATAACTTCATTCAAATCAAATTTATTTAAACGTTACTGAATTAAATTGGAAATGCTTTCATTTTTTTATAAGGGTGATATAGGTTACTTTTTTTGTGATTAAGGGACTACTTAAAGGATTTGAACCTGGGACCTCCAGGTTCTAGACCAGGGTATTACCACTAGACCAAACCCTTGTTCGTTAAAAATATAACATGATCATATTTTGAAAAGATAATCCTCTAGAGTGCATGAGTCAGAAATCCGAACGAGACGGTTGTCTTGAATTATTTTGATTGTATTCTAATTTCCTAAATTTGCACAAAATTTACATGTAATTTTATCTAATTATAGAGGGGATACTGCCCTCTTAACTTCACCTAACACCACCAATGTCCTCTAGTAAATCAGATCATTCGAAAAAAATAAAATCTTATATCAACAAAGATGTAATTGTAAAATTATTTTTGTACAGTTTCCCTACTCACTCATTCTAGTATAGAACATGCATAATTAACAAGCCTTGGCTCTTGTTTCTGGTTTTGTTTAGATGGAAGTTATAGCTCAACTTTTGATCAGAAACTTCCAAACATCCATAACCGCAAAGTGAGCAAATCTAGACCAACGTACAAAACCCTAAAGAAAAAGCTAAAACACCATTCCACATTTGCACGAGGAGAGAGAGAAAGGCCATTTTGCTCTGTGATCTTTCCTTTCCTCATAACTTCACCAGTCAAAGCATATGCGCTCTGAAACTGAATTCTTCTTTAATAACAAGAATTCTTGCCACGTAACATGCCTTGCTGGCTCCGGCAGTGACACGTGGTGGTTATGAAGCGTCACCATTGGTCGTTGGGCGGGACTTTGCCCTTATAGCTAGCTCCATGCATGAGAGGCATTTGCTGACATCCGCACATGTATATTAAATTAATTTCAGATTCTTTTTTTCTTCTCATCCGTTTCTTCTTTGGTGATCTAGGGAATTGCTCTCTTGCCGTTATTTCTATCATCATTCTTCTTCTTCTTCATCATCATCAGTCCATGAGTGTCTATCATTCCATGGCCTTGGTTGTGCAAGGATTATTAATATTAATTATCTACCGCATCGGTCGAACCGTAAAAATTTCATATTGTCGTTCAGATTGGTACAATATACAAATGTCATCAGAAAAACAAAATATGAAAGCTTACATTAAAATATCTACCAATCTCGAATATAATATTATATTGTATGATACAAATTGAATATATCATTCGATCTAATTTTATTTTAACAATGGTATTCCACTAATATGCACTCAGCTGTCTCACAACTGAATCACTAATACTGTAATACATCATTCTTTAACTGTTTGGTACGACTTTCGGTATCATAAACCATGTTCTTACTACTGTGAAATTGTGACCTAAATGAAATAATAAAAGAAAATGGCTGTCATAATTTTCTGAAACCAACCCTTTTCATTCATTTTGACGGCCTATTCCTCTGGCCAACCTAGCTAGCCAGCCAGCACTACCAGGTCCGTATTTATTGGGCTAAGGTTATCAAGGCCCATCATTCATTGTTCACTTCACATATGCTGATTTTTTTCTTGGGTAAACTTGAAATGGTATATTATTATGGTTGTGAGAAACAACCCAAACTAGATCCAACAAACTAAAACCCACCCCACAGGAAAGCCCAGCCCACGAAAACAAGAAACTCAACAACACTAAGCCGAACAAATAGGGGCCCGAGTCAGGCCCACACAAAAGGTCATCATCGACGTCAATCAAAGCGTGGGAAAAGAAAGAAAGAATGATCGAGAAAAGACAGAGATTTAGAGCAGCGGCCGAGTGTGACGGCGGCGTGCCCGGCCGCAGAGAAGCGCGTTCTTGGGAATCGGCAGCTCATCTCTCCACGAATGCGCCGCGCTATAAACCCTCAGATACAGCTGCTGCCCGAGATACTGCCTCGCCCAATTCTCCGATCGAATGTTCCACATCCCCACATTGTCCAGCGCCATGTAGATCGCCGTCCACGACCTCGGATATACCTGAACCGTGCACCGCGACAGTGTCCCCAAATTGTACCGCAGCCTGCTCGCCGCCGTCCACTGCCCGCCGTCCATCCTGAAAACCAAACAATCGCCTCGTCGGTCAAACAAATTTGCTTCGAGTTGGGAAAAGAAGTCAAAATTGACTCGGATTTTGCTTACCCTACGACGAAGAAAGCGTGGCCGTCGACGTGCCACGACTGAACAGTGTCCTCCCAGTTTTGAAACACGATCTCGACGAATTCTCTGAAGTTCGCGCCCATTACTGAAGTTTGGAGGTACGCGTTCCCGCCGGAGTTCGGGCTCATCGGGATGCTTCCGACGTTGAATACTCCCGGGATGTTGAAGTAGTCCGCCAGCTTCAGCGGCGTGTCGGCGGGGGTGAAGGAGGAACGCCGTTGACGGCGTACCTCTGCTTCCCGTTGATCCAGGGAGCGGAGTTCGCCAGGGTGATGGTGCGGGTGGTCTTGATCATGCCGTAGTGGTATGATCCCTGTGGGTTCGGCCTTGGCCCGCTCTCGCCGTCAGATTCCGCCTGCCAAGTGTTCGATGAAAGGAAGTGGTTAATTATTGAGACCAATTGGTTTACTAGCTGATTTGTCCTTGATGAAAGTTTACCTAATGGTTCTGGCTTGGTTGAGGGACCAGTTGATGAGTGGTCGGGCGCGAGGGACGGGACCGGAGACTCCTTGGCGGGAGTTGCTGTAGTGAAGGACGGCGATGGTGGTCAGGACCTTGGTGGTGAACCTGGTGGAGATTGCGATGTAGTAGTCTTTGGCGGTTGGTCCATGGTGACCAAGACAGAGTAAGACTGACCCAGATGGACGTCGAGGCTGTTGTAAACGTTCTGAACAGGTGAGCTCCTTCGGCCTCCACCAACTTCATCTTGGGCCCTCGAATCTGAAATTGATGGACGTGGCAAGTCCCACATTCGATATCCTAAACCTGTAAGTCTTCCCTACAAATTTGAACATTTCGATCTAGTGTAAGTCGAATTGGAGGAAGAACAATTGTGGATGATACTGTTAGTACTACTGAGACCTACATGGTTCGACTCTGAAGGTGTTTCCATTCATCCACGGCCATTGATGACAAGCCCAT